CCCCACAGACGCAGTTCTTTTTTTTTTTTTTTTTTTTTTTTTTCACATGTACAATAGAGCGGCGTTGTAGCTAAGCTAGGCTATTTCCTTAATACCCCAACTGTTCAATCATCTCGGGCGAATTGATAAACGCGCACCTCGCCCTTAACTTCTGCCTCTCGAGGGCACTGTTCGCCCCGGGCCCATCGATCGGCGACAGACCCTCACTTGGACCGCCCACCACAAATACATTCACCCGGCCGTCGGGCGTAAACGCCGGCGCGAAGCCCTGCAGCGTGTCGTGCCCCTCGAGCCCGGGCCGCCCGGTACTCGCAAACGTCGACCACGAGCGCGACCCCCTATCCCTCAGGGCGTAGTCGGCCGGGCTGGGGCGGAAGTCGTAGTCGCCCGTGTCGTAGTGCGAGAGGTTGCCAAAGATGTAGGCGAACTCGGAGGTGTGGATGGGCCCCATGCCCGGGCGGCGCGCGACCTGCGTCAGGAAGGCGTCGAGCACGGTCTGGTTCCAGTCGTACAGGTAGACGGGGTTGCCGGCGGCGGCGAGCTGCTCCGCGTACCCGAGCGGCTGGCAGGCCATGACGATGTCCCTGAAGATGCGCGCGGACCGGTAGAACTCGCTGGAGGCGTTGGCGGCCGCGTCGGCGGGAAAGTCGGACGCCGGGTACAGCGCCTCGAGGCGGCGGATGTTGGCGGGCGACACGGCGGGCGCGTAGGCGCGGAGGAAGGCGTGCGTGTCGCTGGCGGTGGTGATGTTGGCGTCGGTGAAGAAGGTCGTGTCGTCGTCGCACCAGCCCATCATGGCGGTGACGCTGGCGAAGCGGTGCTCCCGGATGAGCTGGGAGGGCGGCGCGGGCAGGAAGTCGCCGTCGACCGAGGGCAGCCAGATGTCGCCGATGTTGTGCGCCGTGTCGGACTGGTACGTCGCCAGCGAGGCGTTGAGCACCGTGTCCGTGGGGAAGCTGCGCAGGCACGCGATGGTGGAGGCGGACCCGAGGGGCGTCTTGTTGCAGCCGACGTGGTCGACGAGGGCCTGCATGGCGTTGGTGGTGAAGTTGCCCGTGATGCCGGGCTCGAGGGCCTGGCTCTCGGCAATGGCTTGCTGGAAGGGGGCTGGCTTGGAGCCGCCGTAGGCCATGATGTGCATGCCGATGGAGAGGCCTGGGGGTGTTAGTGTCTCTTTTTGAGTCTGGTGTTTTCAAGGTTGCGCATGTGCGTGGTACATACCGCCGGAGGACTGGCCAAAGATGGTCACCCTGTTGGGATCGCCGCCAAACTGCGCAATGTTGTCCTGAACCCATTCGAGCGCGAGGCGCTGATCCTTCAAGCCGGCGTTCTCGGAGCCTTCTTTTCGAAGGGCATCCGACCGTGCGAATCCAAAGACTGCCGCTGATCAGCTATTGTCCTCTGGTACCGTGGAACCATACTCACAGCCCAAGCGGTAGTTCATGGCCACGTGGATCACGGGCAATCCATTCTTCACGCTCTCGAGAATCATGCCGTCCGGCCGGATGGTAATCTCCTCGTTGCTGCCGGCCCAGAAGCTCCCGCCGTGGATGTACACCATGACGGGCAGCTTCTCGCCGCCGACAGACTCGCCCGCGGGCCGGGCAATGTTGAGGTTCAGACAGTCCTCGGAGACCTTGGTCATGTTGGTCAGTGATATCGGGGGCACCCACGGCCCCAGGGCCTGCGGACACGCCGGGCCATAGGCGGTGGCGTCGATGGCGCTCCCGCGCCGAGACGAATGCGGACGCGGCGGCCGAAACCGGTTCTCGCCGCTGGTGTCCTGGCCGTAGGGGATGTTGAGAAAGACGTCGATGCCGTTGCGGCAGAGCCCGTGGTAGGTGACGTCCTTGTCTGCGTCGTGGACGACGGGACCTGCGCCCGCGCCGGCGAGGACCGGCGACGCGGCGAGCAGCAATACGGCGGGAGGCTTCATGGTGTAATGCCGAGGTGTGTTGCTGTGTATAATGGGGAGGGAGGAACAGACGAGGCAAAACGAGCGAATGGAGCCATGGCTTTATCAACGAGCTGCCGCGCTCGTCGCCTCGAGGGGACTGGACTGGACTGGACTGGACTGGGCTGGATGGGCCGACTCTTGTTCTAGACAACCGTGCATAGATGCATATAGTAGTATTAAACCTTCATGTTAGCCTCGGACAGGGGATCGCCTGCAGATGGCCAATTGGCGATGTGGGAGACACGAAGAGGGCGGAGAAGTCCACCAGACGTCTGCATGAGCCCACCGGCCGCTTTTCTTCTCTTGGGAAAACCGGAATCGTGACATTTGGGGCTCCGGAGCTGGCGGCGAATAGTCGACGGCCATTTCGTCTCAAGTAGACACCTGGGCCTAGTTCCGACGAGTCAATTCATCTATTCGCGACATGACATGAAAAACTCGCATTGCCACGTCCATGGCTGCGCCCGAGTAAAATACACTTGGCCGCCGTTGCCGAAATGAAACTGTCCGATGTCAAGTGAGACATTTCGCTCGTCCGATCATGGCTTGCATGACAATGACCCAGCAGCCCGTCTCCGATGCGACGTGCATCTTTTATTTCATTGACCCCGTTCCTACACCCAAACGCCCTGCTCTATTGTATAACGAGTACTCCGTACGGAGTGCCATGTAGCCTGGTAAATCTACTCAACCCTTGGGCGCTTGCTCTCGGCGTCGTCGCCATTGACGCCATCGTCGTCAATCTCCTCTCTGGGCCTTGTCCTGCCCGCGCCATCTCCCAGCTCCTCTGCCTCGCCCTCTCCATTGCTGCCCCCAATCCAATTCCCGTCCTCGTCGAAATACTCGTGCACGTTTTCCGCAGTGATCCAACCGCCACTGCCCGGCATGGGCGGCGGCAATCCTCCGTCGGCCGTGCCGCGCAGAACCCCTGTGAACCCCTCCACGGCCTCTTGCTCTGCGTTGCCCTCAAATACTATGCGGTCGTAGTCGTCTTCCTCGTCCCCGTCTTCGTCTCCGTTGGTCGGATCTGGGTGCAAGTTTGAACAATTGGCAATGGCGTCGTACAGCTGCTGCGCCGTCTGCGGCGGCTCGCTTGACGCCGGCACAATCGTAAGCTCAACCGTGTTGAAGTCGTCGTCGTCGGCGCCGCCGTCCGAGAACTCTAGCTGCATCCATATGGCCGGGGTGCTGGCGCCTTCACGCGCGCTGACCTGCTTGACAGCGTGGATGGAGATGGAAGGGTAGGGGATTGAGACGCCTGACTCGGTCTGTTCGCTGAAGATTGTAAAGTGTCTACGCCCATTGTCAGCGTACACGGCCCGTCGAGGTCGGTGGTTGGAGGGTTCGGCTCACTCTGAGTTCACAAAAACATCCACCTTTTGCTCAACCAGCCCCTCCGCGTCACCGTTTGTGCTCGCCACGGCATTCTCGGCCGCAGGCGAGTCCGCGGGGAAGATGGCCAGCGTGCCGCATTGCGCCCTGGGGATGGATGCGACAGCTCCCTTGAGGTGGAAGTGCAGCACTGGTTTGCCGCCGCTGAACGATTCTGGCGTTTGGGACTGGTACTCAGAGAGGGGCGTGTAGTCGTCCACCGAGGGCGGCGACCGTATCGTCGTGGCGAGCATGATGGACGCCGTGGAGGGAGACGGTTGAGACGACTGACTGCCACCAGACTGTTTGAGGACGCCGGTGCTGGAGCTTTGCAAATTCATCGCGGGGGAGCTCTGAAGGTGAACTGACCAGTTCAACCCGTATCTTATCGGAAGTGGGGGCATGACGATTCTCCGCAGCGAGACCACCATCGTAACGGCGGTCCGCGTCGTCTCCTCGCGAGTCGAGACGAGGCTCTCGGGAGGCATGGCTTCATCGTCCACACCTCCACTCCTCAACGCCCGTTTTCGAGCCCTTCATACACGCAAAAGGACACAACACACCGCACTCCTTACCTGTTCAACCGCCTCCCTACGGCTACTTCTCACAGGCTCGTGACAAACTCCTCATCAACAACCGCACCTTGGCACAGCAACCTCAACATACACCATGCACAGCAATCGTATGCGCCACCTCCTCTCTCCCCGCCGGCGCCCTGCCAAGCTAACAGCTAAATAGGCCCTCACCCCCTGCTAGAGCAGGTCCCCCTCACCGTGTCCCCGTTTGTATCTCTCCCAACGGCCACCACGCTCTCCTACAACTACAAGACAATGCCCTCCAACATCCCCCCCTCAGCAATGGGAATCCCCACGGCATCCGAAGACCCCTCCCAACAGCCAAAGGCGCGCTTCGTCGTCTCGGGCTCCGGCCATGCCGCACACCCCGACGACATCATTGACTCGTGCAGAGCGCTCCTGGACCACGTCACCAAAGTCCAGGAGAGCGCGGAGCGGGAGCTCCAAGAATTCGAGGACCAGATCAAACAGCGCGATCTAGCCGAGAAGAGGAGAGTTGCGCCCGGCTGGCTGGACAGTGAGTCGCGGCTACTGCAGCCCGAGAGAATGTCGGCACAGGCTGGGCCGACCGCGGGAGCGACGGCGCAACATCAGCAACAACAAGATCCGCCGCCGATGGGGGCTGGGACGGCACAGCCGGTGGTTGACGCGGGGGCAGAATTGGACAGGGCCTTTGGCGGCATGGCTCTGAAGTGAGAATTTCTATTTCCTTTTTTGAATATATTTCGACACGAGTTACGAGCTACCATGAGCACTTGGAACATAAACTGTATTCAATGGCGTTGTATTATATAATTGTCGTACGAATTGAGCGACCTCTGGCTTTCGAGTATATGCTTACATGAAGTTGTCAGCAAGATCCCTCATGCCCGTATCCTGAATTCGCAAAATTAAAACATGTTGGCGGCAATCAAAACGGCCACTCCAGCTACGACACGGCCGGAAAGCATGTTTTGCGATGCCCCGGCTGTGACGGTTGGAGCATGACTGGCGGTCTGCCATTTTTGTCAGCAGTGTTCCGAGCATATGCTCCGTGGCACTCTTACAGAATTGTGACCGGGGGCAACATCAGACGCCGCGGTGGTTTGAACGGCAGAAGTGGGCGCCACTGGTCCCGAAACCGAACGGCTTTCTGCATGGGTAGACTGGCCTGGAGCGCTCGTCTGCTGAGCTGCCGTAGTGATGGGAGTGGTGCTGGGGGCTGCAGTCCCCGACCCAACCTGGGATGAACCACTGTCGTCAACGGGCTTGGGAGTCGCCTCCAGGCCGCACTTCCCGGCGGCGGCGCTGACCTTGTCGCCGTACCACTGCCAGATCTTGTACTTGAGGGCGCAGTCGAGGCAGTCGTCTAGGAGCTTCACCCAGGACTGGTCCTGACAGTAGCCATCCTTGGTGGAGTTCTGGATGGCATATCCTACGGACAAGTTAGTCTGGCGGAAATCGTGTCATTGGGCACCCACGGCGGTGTACTGACCACAACTGGCGTGGCATTGATAAGCAGGACCCGAGTTCTGACGCTTCGCCATGGGGACAATGTCGGGAAAGCTGAAGTCCGGGTTGGCAACGGCGGCGGCTAGGGATGCCACCGCGCCGATGGCGAGAGCAGAAGCAGTGAAGCGCATCTTGCTGGACGCAGTGCTCAAACAAGTGACGATTGGAAGAAGCTGATGGAGTTTCTAAAGAAACGGCCAACAGAAACCGACTGGGCAAGAGGGTCGACGCCGGAAATGTCCCCGGAGGCATGGTCTTTATATACAGCTCGACCAGATACAACAGCAACAAATGCAATCCCTGTACCCGAGAGCCATGAACCACACGCGCAGACTCCATGCAACCCAAAAGTGCCTCTCCCAGCTTGCCCGATTCTACTTGTGTCTCCCGGCACATTCTTGTTGGGGATCTTTCTTGGCCTTGACTGGAACCTGGGGAAGGCTTGCCAAGGGTTCGTCAACTTCCCCTCCCCAAACTCTCGGCGCCGATCGGAGGAGCATCCTTGGCCTATAAATCAACCTTGGGCGGATACGAGGACTTCATCATCAGCCAATGAACCAATTTGCGCCTATGCACTCGCATGCGAAGCAGACAGTGAACTTGATTGCCGTGCGTCGGCCGTCAAGTGGCGCGGGACGGACCAATGGAAGTGGCACGCTTCATCCAACATCTGTTATCTGATCATCTGATAACTCGCCCCCCTGCCAATATTTACCTCGCTGGCAAATCAATGGCTGCAGCGGGTTGATGGGACTTGGCAACCTGCCTTTCATGGCGCACGGCGTGGGTCGGGGCCTCTCGGCGATTCGAGGACGATCCGTGTGTGCGGGGATGGCTTCAATGTTTTATGTTGCCAGCAGCTTGGATGCTACCACACAAGTTTTAGACCATTCTCTTTGTGCGAGTGTGCCGTTGCATCAATATGCTGTCGTGCACTTTGTTTTCAATTCTCCCGTGCGTTTGGCAGGCCGGTGGGGGAGCGAATTGCCCAGTTGGATGAAGTTGTGGTGATGGACCATGGCTGTGATGGGTGCGTGTGTGTGTGTGTGCTTTCCATTAATACCGCTCGTGTTGCTCGTCTCCCACATTTGGGATTTTCTCGAATTGACTATGAACCAGACATATCAGTACTGCCTTCTTGAATGAACCGCGTTTCGAAATGGCTCTGTTGAGATTGCTGGCCGTCCTGGCCATGGCAACTTCGGTTGCCACAGCTGCCAACCCAACAACCTCCGACGACATGGGACCTGCGGCCTTTATGTGGCCGGAAGACAGAGTCTGGTCTGCCGCTGCTGATAATACTGCGCCTTGCGGATCAGTCGCTCGTGTGGGCAACCGCACCAATTTCCCGCTGAGTATGGAAGCACATATCAACTATGCTGTGGCTGCATCAACTCCGACCAACTAACCATGTGACAGCCAATGGTCAGGTTGCTCTTGTTGATCAAAAGGAAGCCCATAGCGTCCAACTAAGTATTTCGTACGATGACGGTTTGTTGACCCCTGCATCATCTAAATAAAAGCACACCAAATCCAAGAGCTGACGGGTCTTTGCTCCAGATCCCAAGGAAGACAATGACTTCACAACACTTATAAAGCCCGAGGCTATGGCTGAGTTGGACAAGGGACACACTTGCGTGAACGTCCAGAATCCACCACCCTTCATCAAGGCTGGAGCGAACGCCACTTTCCAGATCAAATACGTAGCCAGCTTTGACAAGCCCGACAAGGAGACGTTTTACGCGTGTGCCGACATCACCTATGTCGAGTTTGCCAACTTCAAGGAGAAGGTTCCGTGCTTCAACGCCACAGTGCCCGAGGACAGCAAAAAGGATACCCCTACGCCCACATCAGACGCGTCCAAGAACTCGGGCTCTGCGAGTTCCGGTCTCTCTGGCGGCGGCACCGCTGGCGTTGTCATCGGCGTTGTTGGCGGCGTGGCACTGATTGCCGTCGCTGCCTTGCTCATTTACAGACGAAGGCAGCAGCGTCTGCGGATGTTGCGACAGAAGTTCTCTCCTCGAAATATAAAACCGGATGGGCAGCATAGGGATTCGCCCTCTGTTCGAAGCGAATCAGCGTAGATCTTGTTAGTTGACTACCAAGGCAGCCAGGAGGGTTTGGGTGGAAATTCGAAGATTGTACTTGCCGTTTATATGCTTTCCTCGACGAGACAACTGATGGAAGGTGTGGTGCACGGAGAAGCGCTTAATGATTGCCACGAAATTGCCGTTGCGTGTTCCCGTGTCACACTTGCTTTGTTCGTGATTTTTGCGACCAGACTCTTTCTTATTACGACTGCAAGGCACGCTACTGCCGAGCGCTGAGGATGATGCTCTGTTAAGCGACTCGACATGAGGAAGGGGCCGGACCAAGCCTTCCAAAAGTGACATGAACCTGAAACCTGCCCCCTTCCATAAATCGTTGCCGTCTGCGTCACGCAAACACTTTTTCCATTCCCTCCACCATGCATTGTTTACTGCTCAAGGTCTTCCGTGCCTATCTGCGAACTCGACATTTCTTTCGACGTGTCTTTGGACGAAAGAAGCCTGACAAGAAGACCAAGTCTCACAAGAAGCCCGCATCGAGGAAAGGCTCTGGTAGCAGCCGTTCTTCCTCTCGTTCTTCCTCCCGTCCTACTAAAAAGCGCTGCCCGTCAACATCATAGCCTACTTAGGCAACAGTCCCTTACGAAACATTGATTAGCAATACGTCGACACTTGTACGCAACTATGAAGTATATTCGGTTTATTGCAGTTCTTTTTCCTATCGTGACTACGTGTTGGGTTCTCAGAGATGCCCCTCAGCCAGCCTCGCTCGACTTTGGAAATGCCACCATCGCCCGTTTTCCTTTTTCAGACATGGCTAAACAAGTTGGGATTGACCCGAATTACATTATATGGGATACCATCTATTATTACAAAAATCGTGAATATTCTTGCCCTGATGTGAGGCTGTTGTCAACCCAAGCCAGCGCGTACGCATCCAGCTGACAAGATTCTTCACAGGGAGCAGGCCCGAGGATAAACGACTGTCCCAGAGTCATTGAATACTGGACCCGCATGGTGGACGAGAAGGGGGAAATTGCTATAGGTGCAAAATCTTGCACGTCTATTACCGAGGCATGCTGCCAGGCCGTCGTTTGCGCACCATTTGAATGGAATGTTCCATTTAGCTTAGATCAAGTGACTGGAAAAATGCGGTCTCAATTGACAACAGACTGCATGTACCAGGGAAAAGGTGGCATTTGGTATTATGAAGGAGTGAATCTGTACATTCAGATGCTTCGCCCGCGGAGCGGCCAGTGTCCAGCTTGAGGTGGTAGGATTTCGGTCCATGTGCTCCCCTACAACACACGTAATAACGATACAAATTCCTAGAGTAGTTTTTTATTATATTGAAAACAGCACCCTAATATAATCCTGGTGTTCTTCATACTAGTGGTGAAATCTTGGGGGTCCGTTGGTGGCGAGGACGACTATCCGTGATGTGGCATGGAAAATTGTGAAATCCACACACTAGGCGTCCTTTTCCATGTTTGTTACGATTTAGAAAACCATACCCTTGGTTTGCTTTCCCCTAGTCTCTTCCAATGTTCGCACATTGATGCTTCGCCACATGAAGATGCATAAAATAGCCAGAGCCATGAAGCACGAGCCGCAGATGGCCATGACGCGCTGCACGTCGCTATACGCATGAATAATCCCATCTCGCGCAGGACTGCCCGCCGGAAGCGCCAACTGGGCCTCGATGTCGCCGTAAATAGTGGCCGTCTGGTTCTTGTAGTCGTCCGGCAGGTACTGGTACATCTTGTCCTCCATGGTGTTTGTCCACAGGCCGCCGGCGATTGCGAAGCCGATAGCCTGACCGATGGAGCCGAACAGCCCAAACAGCGCAATGGCGACGGCAATGTGCTGGTGGTCGATGGAGGCCATGATGGCGAGCTGGCCGGTCATGGCCCAGACGCCTGTCGCGAAGCCGTTGAAGAGCTGGCACATGACTAGCACGCCGACCGAGGTGCTGGGGGTTCGGAAACGCACGAGCAGCGCCGTGCCTAGGATGGCAAAGGGGATCATGGCGAGCGAGGGCCATTTGACGTTGCCAAAGTAGCGGATGTAGCTGGGGCGGTTAGCAGAGTTTGCCATGGGGGGAGGGGGATATGTGGCAGGCGGGCTTACACTCCGATCAGGGGGGAAATGACGGACGATGCGAGAGAGAACGAGTTCAGGATGTAGCCTGAGTCGGTGATGCTCTGGAAGTGCACGACCTCGAGGTATGACTGGTAGTACGTGTCCCAGCAGCTACTCTGGTGTTAGTGGGTTGGTTGTGGCCAAGGAGATGATGGGTTGCGAGTGCGTACAAGATGGAGAGGAACATGAAGCCGTAGAGTAGACAGGCTCCGAGAATGGTGCGGTCCTTGAGATACGCCCATGGGAAGTACTGGACGGGCGCAAAGTACTTCTCCCAGATGGCGAACAGGGCGAGCAAAACGACGCCCACGACAATCATGGCAATGACGTAGCCCGTCTTCCACCCGTCTGCGGCCGTGTTGACCAGCTGGAAGGGCAGCAGGAGAAGAGACCATCCGGCGACGGTTAAAAACATGCCAATAACTAGGGATATAGGTGAGCATTAAGGGGAGGGCAATACCAGGCGCGGGGAGGGGAAAAGACTGACCGTCAAACTCGATAAAATAGTGCCTACACGACTCCCAGGCCGTCCGGTTCCTGGGCCGCTCGGGATAGACGCCCATGCGCACGGCCTTTCTCTTGCTCAAGACGAAGACGATGGCAACGGGGATGGCGAAGAAGACCAGGATGATGCAAAACGAGTAAAAGGCCCAGCGGCAATTGGCACTGGCGTAGAACAGGTCGGCGATTCTGGGCCCCGCAAAGGTGGTGGCGATGATGGGCGTCTGCTGGATGCCAAACAGGATGAGCCGGTTGCGCAGGGTCGTCATGTCGGCGAGGATGATGGTGATGATGTAGCCGAGGCCAATGTGGCCGACCCAGTAGAGGGTGTGGCCGGCGGCGTAGGTGGGAACGTCTTGGCTGACGCCCTTTGTGATGAGGCCGACGACCATGAGGACAATCATGGCGACGAAGCCCTCGCAGCGGCCCCAGATGTCGATGATTTTGGCAATGGTGAGGGTGCACACGCCGCCGATGATGGAGGCGACGATGTCGGTGGCGGCGAGGAGGCCGTGCTGGCCAAAGGACGACGTGATGAAGTTTTGGAGGTTGCCTGTCACGGAGCCCTGGAGCTGGTCGATGAAGGAGACGAGGTAGAGACTTGCGAGGACGTGTTAGCAAAAGAATAAAAGGGGTGGGAAGCTGGCCGTGTGTCGACGACGTACAGGACAAACATGATGATGAGGATTTGTTTTGTCCACACGCTGGTGATTGCCTCGACTCGCTGGACACCTTCCTGCTTGTAGCTGGGCTCGGTGTCTGGTTTCTTGTCGTCAGCCTCATGGTTGGTGTTGATTTGGTCCTTTTCCACGTCGGAGGGGTTTCTGTCTGGCTCCGGGACAAAGCCCGGTGTCGTCGGGTGGGTGATTTGCGGCGCCATTTTGAGCTGCTGCTCGGTTTCGTTGGCCAGAGGAAAGGTTCTTGGCCCTCAACTCGAACTACAGCGAGACTCGAGGTCTTTCGATTGTGGCACAGGATGCTATGCTTGCGAAGGTTGAAAAGGCGTCTTGCTACACATGGCGACGACGGGCGTCTATTATCTATATCGACAGCGGAAGCTTTTCAGCTAGTCACAACACAGAGAGATAATCGGCAAAGGCGGCTACGACCACAGGTGAAGAGAAGGGGACGATTACCCACCACGATGGCAGGGATTCCCATCAACCGCGGAGTACTGATTATCTGATGCCCGGGACCAACCACCACACACGTAAGCCGCAAGCAAGAAACTGGCTGCCCCCGGTTTAGAACTCCCAGAAAACGCCACATGAACGGGGGTTGGGCGACAATCAGCCGTCTGGACTGAGAAGCGGCGTCGTTTAGCCTTTATGTTGAGAAGACGGCAAAATGGCCAAGACGAGCAAATCGTGGAAGCAGAGGACAAGGTTTTGGGGCCGAAGGGCCCGCGCTGTGGAGCCGTGGTGCTGGCCAAGACGGCATCGCATTGCCGTCACGATGGGCCTCGCAGTTGTTGTGTCCAGCTCTCGTTTTATCTGATCATCAGATAAACGATAAGTGGACAATGGTGGATAGCCTAGTTGGCACTAAATCAGCCACTTGATGCGCAATGCCCCTCACCGTCTTTTTTTCTTGTTTCGTTTTAGTAATGCTAGCCGACGGCGGGAAAAAATTTGTCGGACTAGAACTTATTGCGTGTTGCGTGATGCTGATGAGTTTGCTTTGGGGACATCCTGGCGGTAGGTGCCAGGATTCGTCCATCGTGGACTTGGGTGTTGGAGGGTCTGCCGTCTGGGCATGCATAGAACTGGCAACTGCTAGCGGCTCCCTGGTAAGGGTCCGGCGCTCCGTAAATCCACATTGACCAGGCACTTGGCTGACAGATCGAGGCACTGCGAATGGCGTTCCATGGCCATGGTAGATTGCATCTGCACACGCAGTCATCATGTGCAGGAGAACCACCATGCCAAGCTACGGCGTTGTATTCGCCAGGGCCACGAGCTTGGCGTGAGCAAGACTCTCTTAGCCCTAATCATAAGTAAGCATTTATTTTTTTACTGTTTTCCCCCAGAAATATTGGCTGATCCAACCTGGTGCGTCTTTTTAGACTCGGTGGAGACAGCCATCCGAAAACGGGGCTGTTGGGCACCAGCACGGGCACCAGCACCCGGTGCGAAATTACCCGTTGAGATCAATTTATTGGTTCGCGAATCTAGAAGCTGTATCCTATGAGCATCCATTTGTTTGCCAAAACGACCGTTTCTTTTTTCCTCCTCTTCTCCCCAGTTTATTATGCTCTACGGGAAATGTCGGCCCCGAAGTCGGAACAAATGACGCCTCCGCATGATGCATCAATGTTATCAATCCCGCATGTTGTGCGCACATCTGATGTGCAACCAGTATAATGAACTCTTCGCCCCTTATGCTCTCCAACAAGCTGCTCTTATTTAATGCTATAAAATACAAGTAGCTAGCTAGTATATGTTTTTTGCCTTTACTTGTATTCAAGTACCTGTAGCGGCAAGGTTCGCACCCCTGAGCCGACTGTCAACGGAATAGAGGGGTCTGGTCCCTTCGATTTTGTGACACTGTCTGTTTGCATAAAATTGTCTTGAGACTATAAATTAGCAGCCCGAGTCTGGTGCGCGTAAAGCAATTCCAACTTATCATGACAACTCATCAAGGGGAAAAGCGCAGAGGCACTAGATGTAGCTGTGGGTAGAGTCTGGTAGCATTAACTACCCGTCGGCACGCACAAGTTATCAATTGACGTCGACTGGTCTGGTTAATGCTGGCGTAGGCAGGCCAATAACGTTACGCAAGCTACGGCCCTGCACCAGCTGGCACCAGCTGGCACCAGTTGTCACCAGTTATCATGCCACGACACTCACCACCATTGATCCTTTAAATGTTATGGATGCCCCCGTGGCTGCCAAGTTCCCCCGTTCGAACAACAACGACATCAAAAACCATCGCAGGCCTGGATGCCTCTTGGCCGTGGTTGCGAACCGCACTTCCTTGTGAATGAGCCAGAGTCAACAATCATGTCAAAACGTGACAGAGGCGACGTTCATTAAGATACTTGGCCTAGCATCGCATAAGAATGTCGAAACCGTGGTACAGCCAACGTGGTTATTACACTTGGTACCGGAGGCATTCCACGCCGTTGCAACGCGGAGTGGCTAGTATACTGCATTTGATGTCCAAGTCGAGGATACGACTGGCGCAGGGTAAGTTCCATTTTCGCCTGTTAACCACTCATATGAGTTTTATTTCTATTTGCGTTGAGTTAGGGACACTTTCACAGGCTCATACGCTTCGGATTATCGGCGGCAGAAGGCCAGAGAGACGAGACACCAGGAGTGCGGTCGTTCGTGCGGACGGGTTGCTGCTATTACGATTCGAGCGTGGGAGCGTATGATGGTATCCCTTGGTCGGACGAGATTGATAATTTTGGTGCGCCTGATAAATCTCTCGCTAGACTTGGTAGTGAGGCTTGGATGATTCCGCATCATTGCGATCCAGACAAAGACTATGGTTCGAGAGGCAAGAAAGCATCCTTCATGTGACCCATTATCCCGTCCACCCTCGCTACCTCAACGTTTTTGATACGCAATCTTCCTCACTCCAAAACACTATCCATTCTCGTTCGTTAGAATGTCCGCCGAAGACACGTCGGGTGCCAAGGTCTACTTGGTATCCAACGATAATGCCACTTTGCAAGTCGATAGGTGACTGCCCGATTTACTTACAGTTTTCGCAGGCCAAAGAGTTCGTGATCCCGGCCACTACAAGGTTGCGGAGTTGAGTCTGCATTCAAAAGTCCCCTGAAGGAGTCTTTTGTGAAAACCACCGACTCTTTCATGTTGGCTGTTTCCCGAGCTGAATTTTCAAGACACAGCACAGACGTTAGCGACATTAGTTTACACGGTTCGCTACATGATTCACGACAAGATTGTATATTTGAGTCGACTGCAGCTCCGTCTCAAAGGTTACAGGGCAGTACATATCGCATGTTGTGCGGCTTGCCAGTCTCTCCTACAGGTAGATTCCATGGACCTTTCTAACTCGACTTGCTAGTATTCACACCAACCATCACTAAGCATCCCATGGTGTCTTCAGTTCGCCAATGTCTCCCTTTAGCTACGCGTACCGTTTGACCGAGCACAACTCGCATGTAAGCAACAGTAAAGTCGGCCAAACTCAACTCCTGCCTCGTCTAGATCTCTTAGACTGCATCTCCTGTTAGTCGTTATGGCGCATCTCCTTTGCTGCGCGCAGCATACTCAACTCAGGAAAAGCTGATCCGCGCCTGTGTGCTGGGGGGGTTAAAAATAGAAATAGCCTCCTAATGGAGTTTGGCCTTGTGCTATTTACAGGGTTCCCTGCTGGTTCAGATGATCCCGATTGGAGTGTGCCTGGAAACTAAGCAAAGTGGAGGGTGGCCATCTCAGCCGCAATCATGCCAAGTATCTGTGTAAGTCGGATTCAACCGGGGCTTACACTCGGTTCTGCATCACAAAGAGCAAGTGCCAGCAATCTCATAGCTTCATTTTTAACCGTCATCGTGTGAGTGGCTCAACCGGGTGTTTGAGGAATTGGATGACCCGCATGGGGGCTTGTTTCCATAACGTGTAAGTCTCTTTGGCGTTGAGTAATAACGGAACTGGGAATACCTGCAACTTTGGTTTTTTTATCCTAGCGCCTTCTATTTTTATATCTGAGAGCAACATATAAAGATCCCGAAGAATCTCAATCAGGCGTTGGTTCTGAATCGGTCATCATTCTACAAACCAATCAACTCTCCTCTGTCTCAACTTCAACCAAGCCTTGCACTCTTTTCGCTACTTTTCCAACATGAAGGTCCTTGTTGTTGCCAACATGCTAGCCATGACCGCCACCATGGTCACAGCCTTCCCAGTCACCGCCGACTCTCTCAACTGCCGAGCCGAGCCCAACACCAGCTCCGCCGTCAAAAAGACGTACAAAAAGACCGACGACGTCAAGATATCCTGCCAAACCGAGGGGCCCTCTATCAACGGCAACTCCATCTGGGACAAGACCCAGGACGGCTGCTACGTCGCCGATTACTACATCAAGACCGGCTCCTCTGGCTACGTCACGGGCAAATGCGGCGGCGGCGGCGGCGGCGGCTCCAACCCTCCCCCGTCCGGCGGTTTCTGCAAGACGCTCAACAAGGCCGGCACCGACCTCATCACCCGCTGGGAGGGCTTCGTCGACCGACCCAAGCCCGACCCCATCGGCCTGCCCACCGTCGGCTACGGCCATCTGTGCCAGAAGAAGGGCTGCGCCGAGGTCAAGTACACGTTCCCGCTGACAAAGGCCACGGCTCTCCAGCTTCTCAACGACGACCTGCCCAGCTACACCAAGTGCTTGGGCAGGGCCCTCGACGCCGGCAAAGTCAAGCTCAATGAGAACCAGTGGGCTGCCCTGACCTCCTGGGTGTTCAATGTCGGCTGCGGCGCTGCCCAGTCCTCGAGTCTCGTCAAGCGGCTTAACCGTGGCGAGAATGCCAACACTGTTGCCTCTGAGGAACTGCCCAAGTGGAAGATGGGTGGTGGCAGGGTCCTGCCTGGCCTTGTTAAGCGTCGCGCGGACGAGGTCGGGCTTTTCAAGATTGCTTCCTCTAGGAGTGCTTTCCCTCAATGCCAGTAGGTCAAGTGCTTCGATTACAGTTTGTTTATATCGAGACTTGGAAGCTTTTTTGGAGACTTGTACTTTTCTTCCATTATGTATTTGGCGGTATTGACCTTGTTTGTTGGACAAATTCGCACTACATGCGGATTGTAAATATGCGCGGCACATGTTTTTAATTTAGATGTACCTTCTCAGGCTCTAATTAAACTGTTGCCCAATTTTAAAATATTGTCCAAGGCTGTTTATTTGGATTCTGCAAACAACAGTGTAAACCGGCAATATATTCTTGTTCATCAATGACTTGTTTTCAGTGGAATATATGAGTGTCGGTCTAGTGGCATAGACATGAACGAATGCTGTTCTTGTGGCATTATGCTTCTGTCCTGCCCTAAATCTTGTCGGTTGAGCAATTCGTTTGGGTTTGGATAGTAGCTGTCACGGCCAAGAGGGCATAACTATAAGCTAGGTACTGGGGGTATTCTACGGTGTAGTAGTCAAGTTGATTAATAAGGAATTTAAAGTGACTCCGACATGTGTCCGTTGGATACCAAAAGGGGCTGACCCATACCCGACCAATATTGTCAATGACCTCGCCGATACTTGGTTTAAGCCTCCACCAATTATGCCCTTAACAGGCGGGTACCATATTAATTACAGAGTTGGTAGTTGGTTCTCAATGGATGTTTGCGTACAGGGCAAATTTTGCTAGCTACCAAATATGGCTGCCGTTTCGATGAGCAATTTTAACGCTGGCCGGGTATTATAATAAGACGGTGGAGGTCGATTAGCGGTGACCGGGCCATGGATATTGCATATCGAATGAAGGCGACCATAGTTATTTCGCCGTGGAAGTAGGCTCGGCGTCTGGGTAAGTTGCACTCTGCGTTCCCTTTGAACCTAAATTGTTGCCGTCACAGTATCATTCACAAGTGCTTCCTTAGTTATATGCGTCCCTTTTCTTCTATGAACAACCATGCTACTTGACAGGATTTGAAAAACTTAGAGCCCTTCTTATTATAAGATGTAGAAACTACGCCGAGACGGTTTGTTTTATCAACAGAGCTGCATTGCCCTACGGTCAATCATACATAGTTGTCTGTCCTAGTGATGCAAAGGCCACCATCGGACCAAGTAAAATCCACATCTGTATCCCTCATCCAATAGTTAGGACAAAATGGCGTGCCAGATACATTCCGTCAGTTAGATTAGATCCTGTCAGAAGGTGGTGCAAGGACCCCTGGCCATCAACTCCCCTGATGCTCGTTCGGAGCCGTGTTTGACAGATGTTTGCCTCCAGCAGGCCAATGGGAACATCTAATGGCCCCGCGTATGAAAACGAGATTGCAGATAATACATTCCGCTCACTCATCCTTGGGGCCGAACATTGGCGGTTCAGTTCCCGGCTCAGCCACTAGACGGGCGTTGAAGACATCTCACCGCAGGATTCTAATTTCATCCCGTGTCAAGAGCCAACAAGACACGCTGACGATTAGGCCGAGCACTGGGGATCTTCGGCTGTGGGTTTATGGTAACACCAGCCCAATAACCATCGTGACGGCCCGTTGGAAAGGGTTGCAAGGTGGGTATGATGTCTTGAAAAAACTGCGCATGTGGTTCCCGTTCCCGTTTTGGTGGCAGTGCAACCTGTAACAAGAGAGGCATTGCTATCCTGAAATGACCCTCTAAAGTCCCTTGCAGGCTGTTTATAGCTGCCAAATCCCTGACATTGTCATGAATGGACTGAGGTCCCCCACTTACATGGCTACATCTTCAGACGACACGATCCTTCCATCTTGAGCATTTCTAAAGTGTCAAGTGTCGATATCTCTGTTTATACTATCACGCCATGGTTGATTGAAACTCCAAAAGACAACCACATTATCAGATTCTGCAATGAAAAAACCAGTGACAAGTCTGCTTTTTGCTCTGCTGTGCGCCGAAACCACAAGTCTTTCCATAACACCAGGCGACGATGGTACGTCTCGCCAAGCAGCAGCCAGTCTTGGCTACGATTTCCTAACCACAAACCAACAGCATCGGTCAAATCGGCCGCGAGCACAATCGCCTACGGCCTGATGAAGTACTACACCGGAAACAACACGGGAGATACACCCGGGAACCTCCCCTCCCCCTACTACTGCAAGTCTCCCCATCATCACCATCTCTCTGGGCAAAATTAACCAGTCCCCAGGGTGGGAGGCGGGAGCCATGTTCGGAACCATGATCGACTACTGGTACATGACGGGCGACGCATCCTACAACGCGGCGACGAGCCAGGCCATGATCCACCAGGCCAGCCCAACGCGCGACTTCATGCCCATCAACCAAACGCGGACCGAGGGCAACGACGACCAGGGCTTCTGGGCCATGGCGTCCATGAGCGCCGCCGAGAACAAGTATCCCGACCCGCCGCCCGACAAGCCCGGCTGGCTCGAGCTGACGCAAGCCGTCTTCAACCACTACGTCTCGCGCTGGGACGAGGATAACTGCGGCGGCGGCCTGCGCTGGCAGGTATTCACCTTCAACGCGGGGTACAATTACAAAAACTCCATTTCAAACGGGTGCTTCTTCAACATTGCCGCCCGGCTGGCGCGGTACACGGGGAACAGCACCTACGCCGACTGGGCGACGGCCATATTCGAGTGGGAGCAAAAGGCGGGCCTCATCACGAAGGAATTCGCCGTGCTGGACGGCATACACGTCGACCACGGCGGCGGCGGGACGTGCGTCAACCGCACCGACACGCAGTGGTCGTACAATGCGGGCATCTTCCTGCACGGCGCCGCCGTCATGTACAACTTGACGGGGGGCGAGGTGTGGAAAGCCCGGACCGACGGGCTTGTCAGGCACTCGCTGGGGGAATTTGCCAGGGACGGCGTCATCTTCGAGCCGGCGTGTGAGCCGGTCAGGGGGTGCGACTATAATGGTCTCTCGTTCAAGGGGTACTATATACGCTGGCTGGCGGCGACGATCAAGATGGCCCCTCATACGTATGAGGCTGTATACCCCGTTATGAGGAAGACTGCGGAAGCGGCGGCGCGGGCGTGCTCTGGGTCGGATGCGTCGTTTAGGGGCGTTCCGGGGACGGCGTGCGGGTTCGCGTGGACGGATGGAGGCAAGTTTGACGGACTGGTTGGTGTTGGGCAGCAGATGTGCGCGCTGGATGCCGTCATGTATACTCTTGTCGATGGGGTGGGTGCTGCGGTGACGCATGATACCGGCGGCACGTCGAGGGGGAATCCGGCTGCTGGGGGGGAATCGGATGATAGCCATTTACCGCTTCCCAAGGCAATCACTGCGGGTGACAGGGCTGGTGCTGCGATTATTACTATTATTTTGGTGGGCATTGGCATTGGGGGGTCTGCGTTTATGCTGTGGGATGAAGATCTCTGAGCATGGTTTGGGGGTTGCTATTGTGATGGGGGTTATAGATGTGATGAAGTTGCAAAGTGATTTGGAAAAAGTGATTAGACGGATATGATGGGGAGTGATGTTTACAAATTGGCAGGCTGTTCCCAGCTTTACTCTCGTGGTCTCTGCAAGACTTGAGTATGCACATCTCGATCCTGTTACAGGCTGTGGTAATATGTTAGTGTTTATGTTACAAGTGCTGAGCGTGTGTCAGGATGGCCAGCGGGGAGCCCTGAGAATGGCAAAAGAAGAAAATCACGCTTTTCATGGTGTGAAAGTAGTTGAGAGTTGAAGCACGTATCAGAATATATGATAGTCATCCAATGACAGCAATACGAACAACCGAAACCCAAGACCAAGTGTGACAAGGGTTCAATTATGAAGGCTTGAAGCGATAAAGGGCTCAATTCAATAATAATCTCGTAGGATATCAAAGGTCCTGAGTTGCTACGAGAGAGGAAGAGAAGGGTGACCGCCTTATATACATGAAAGGAACGCCTGGGCCTATGGTCCTTGCCCGGGCACGTGTTCCAGCTGTATAACTAACAAGTCCTGTATCGGCGAGGCCCCTTTGTTGGGCCTCACGAACTGTTGGGCCTTTTCCGTGTAACACCAAGACTGAACGCGTAAAACGTACAGCGTACAATCACACAATCGGCTCTTGGCTTCTCTTCCCTCAACTCGCTCCTTTGAATTCGGGCTGTAGTACTGAAGGGCGTCGAGAACAGAATGCTTATTTCAAAGAAACCTGACATGTTGTAAGCTAGTAGTCAAAATCAATTACTATCAAATACATCAAACTACAAGATTTAGAGGCGCTGCAATTCTTGAATGTAGCAAAATATGGCAGTAAAGGGTATGGGTGATTGCTGGCATCAGGGTCTTTATTTATAAAGAACCTCGTAAATGCCTAGAAAACACGAGTATAAAGCTGCCTGTAGTAATTGCCATATTCAGGTTAAGGTTGCGCCTTTCGCGGTGAGAAATCCGAGGCGAATTGTGGGACGATCCGAATTTGGCGCCTGTGCAGGACCTTGCAGACAAAGATTTAAAATTAACCCCGATTCGCGGAATCACCCCGACGAAATGAAAAAGACTACGCTTATATAATGACAGGATAGCACTACGTCCTGTATACTGCTTTGCTGACTCCGCGAAAAGTTACACAAGCTAGGCAAAAAGAAAAAAAGCCCAAAAAAATGACCGAGACAGGGGTCGAACCTGCGACCTTCTGATTACAGATATTGAATAATGATGATCGTAGTCAGACGCTCTGCCATTGAGCTACACGGCCTTGTGTTATGTTGGCGGTTGTTGGTCTATTGTTACATATAGACCTAGTGCAACTGGATGTCGGACGGCATTCGACGGCCAGCTGGCTCACGGGTCCCTTTGGATCAGCTTTGGAGTACAATTTCAAGATTACGCCATCTATTATCATTCTGATGTGCAGCCAATGTCGACGACTCGGGGCTATTGTCATCCATCAACATGATGGACATGCCGTACATGTGTCTGCCCCGTCTCAGAGTGATCCGAGACTGCAACCAGTATCCTGGGTCAAACGTCCTGCGGAAATACTCGCAGCTCTAGGCGCGCGCAAACACACGCAAAGCGAGACACCAGCATCGCCAGGTAAATCACCACCGGTACAGTTGGTGCCATACTATTGAATACTAATATTATCATCACAACATCTAGTCTGCAGACATGACGCATCCGCCAAACCTGCGGCCGTTGCATATATTCACCCCCATCTCCCTACATCAGCCAGCACAGTTTTACGCAGAGCACGATTGCGCACTCCCACCCGGGGAATCAGTACACAGAATCAGACCGACTACCCTTGTGGCTGAGCGGGTGTTTAGAAACCAGCGCCAGCTCGTCATTGCCCATGTTTTGCGCCTCATAATGGACACTCGACGTGTCGACGTGAAACGACCTCGTCAGCATGATTTCGTTATTCCGCGACGGCGTGTTGCTGGACCCGGTGCGCCCGTAGCCGCTCTGCTTGAGGTACGACGACCCGCGCGTCTTTTGAATATACAGCGCCGACACGGCCGGCAGACAAGCGCAAATAAGGCCGATGCCCACCTCGGCGTTGCTACAAGACAAAGTCAGCAGAGACACACACAAACGCGGCAGGATTCTCCGTACCCCGACAAAATCACCTGCACAAAGACAACCGTCTGGTTGGCGCTCCTGCGCTCCGCAACGATCAGCACCAGGCGGTATATGCTGAAGGCGGTGGCGATGCCGCCCGCGCACAGGATCCCGCTGACGCGCAGCCTCTTCCTCCTCGGCAGCTGGAGGGACCAGGTGAGCGGCGTGGGGAGCAGCAGGATGGTCAGGTCGCTGATGACGCTGATGATGGCGTCGGACGTGATGATGGCCGACTGGTTGAGGCACTTGTCCCGCTCGCCGCGCCAGTAGGCGGATATGGGCCAGCAGATGAAGAGCTTGATGAAGAAGCCGGAGCCGTAGTAGGCGACGAGCATGCCGATGAGGACGTAGACGCCCACGAGGGTCTTTTTGTGGACGGCGCCGAAGACGCGGATGATGATGACGAGCAAGGCCAGCTTGACGGCCAGCGCCATGGGGGCGTAGAAGAGGGTGGCTGCGTAGCCCGACTGCCGGGCGTCAGTATATTTGGGGTGTGTGGTTTTTTTGAGAGTCTTTCACCTGGAAGAAGGGCTGGATGTCTTCTCGGCGCACTTCCCATTGGTTGAGGCCGCCGCCGTGCATGGACGCTGCGAGGTTGGAGGTTGTGTTAGGCTTTGGGGCGAATGTCGGTGCGAGTTGAGGCTACTTACCGAACACGGCGGTGATGCAGTACCCGACCATTAGCACCTGGCTACATGTGTCAGTTGTCGAGCTTGCGACGGGTCTCTTTTCACACTCACGTATGCGATGTAGGTTGCATCTGTCCGGAGAGCAAGAGGGTCAGCGTGTTGTCGCGACTGTCACAAAGACAGGACTTACAGTCGTCGATGCTGACGCCGCCGCCGAGTATTCTCGACTTGGCGTACAGGCGAGTGAGGACAAATGCCGTCGTGAGAAGCAGCGTCAGGGCCTGCGTGACATAGTTGACTGTTCTCAAGACGTCCTGGGGGTTGTCGAGGTCGGCCGTGGCGCCGGGTGGCGGCGGAGCGGCGCCGGGATAGCTCATGTTGCCCGCCGAAGGGGTTTTGCTTTCCGTGTCTGTCGGTGCAATCAATGCTTCGGTCCTCGAGCGCAGAGCTTCATTCGTTCATGTGTCGCTGAGGGCACACGATGCTCGCTTCGACCAAGGCACCAGGCGCGGGTTGTAGTTTCGGGGAGCAGCGACGGAATCCCCATGACCCCCCCGGAATATCATAAGACGGGACAAGATGTTTCTTGCTCGGCAGGCGGAAATTTAAGGCCACGCCGGGGTATTCATGCGGTTCGCCTGCCGCTGCTACTGGTGCTCGAGACGAAACTTGCTTCCAGAAACGTGGCCGCCGAAAGCTTAATTCGGCTATTATACGGCATGTACTGGTACTAGTAGTACCAGTACCAGACTATGAGAGAATTCCCTATTTCCCCCATGTGTATGCTGCATGCTGCATAATGGCATGTGCCATGGCCCACCGGCTTTCATGCTTTCGGCCATGATGCTTGGCGAGGATGTGCCAGCCCCTGTTCTTAAAACAGGGGCAAACGTGAGGGAAATGCGCTCTGCGCCATCGTGGCCATGCAAAGCCCTCGTTGCGCGGGTTACATCCGGCGGTCCTCGTGCGAAGGCGGCAGGGCAACGCGAGCCGAAGCGTCGACGGTGTAACAATCTGCTCGAAAAGGTAAACTCAACCTTCCACGTTGGATTCGATAGCTTTACAGAGTACGGCTAACCTCTTTTGCGCACCAAGGCGGGCTTTGATCCACTTGGCCTTTTCCAGTCCGGCTGAAGCAGCGGTCCATGACTTGCCCCGTGACAAAGGCCAAACCTGGGCGACTTGGCATCGCAAACGTCGACGGTGCTGCCCACGCGCGACCATGGCATCCAAGGCATCCAAGGCATCGGGTTTCGTTGCTGTCGTGGCCATGATACGGACACGTTTTACACCGCATATCCACCTCGTCCCCTGACACGTCTCCATCATCATCAACCAGACATGGACGGCTTTCTAGCGCCCGCGCACCGCTCGTCTTGACGACCGACGCCGACATGGATGGCAGAAATTGCGAATGGCAACCATATCCCATTGGTTTCTCATCGTCAGACTGCCCCGGTGCAAAACTGGGTCAGGCGCTTGATATTGTTCGCCAAACATGTCGACGGTCGACGGTGCTTGCTTGGCTGTTTTGCACTGCCCATACACAGTCTGTGGCAGAATATATTGCCCGCATGGATTGACGTGGAAAGTGATACATGACGCAATAATGTACTTGCCCTCTGTCAGGGCTCCTTGCCATTGGCCTTTATAATTCTGACTGTCGCGCGTACAGAAGTCGTGTACCCGGGCGCCACGAAATCAGCACATCTGCCGCTCATTCCTCGTACGCAGTCCCTTGTACCGCATCTCGATTATACTCTTGTGCCCTCCCAACGTTGTGCTCTGCTTTTCCTTTTCGAACCCTGTACTGGGGGTTTCCGTCTTGGCGATACTCTGTGTTGGCAGTTGTCCACGCCAATATTGACCCTTCCTAACCACTTATACGCTTGGCGTTGCCGGTCAACGCCTTCCTCGGGGCATCAGCAAGATGGGCGAACTCGTCAACCCTCACTGGGATTCAAAGCTGTTCAAGCCTTTAAAGATTGCCAATGGCAAGATTGAGCTAAAGCACCGGGTTGTCCACGCACCCCTCACCCGCAACCGCGGAACGCCCCTTTCCGACTCGACACCCGAGAAACCAAATCGTGTCTGGGTCCCCAACGAGCACGTAGTCGACTACTATTCCCAGCGAGCCACCGCCGGCGGGTTGATCATCTCGGAAGGCCTCCCGCCCTCGCTCGAGGTGATATCCCCCCCGGACAATGTAGATCCCAACTCGCTGAATCACAACCCAACCTAACCTGACGTGTAGGGAAATGCCATGCCCGGTGTCCCCGGGCTGTTTCGCCAAGAGCAAGCCGCAGGGTGGAAGAAGGTAGTTGACGCCGTCCACGCCAAAGGCGGCTACATCTACGCGCAACTATGGCACTCGGGCCGCGCCAACATCCCCCAACTCACCGGCACACCCATCGTCGCGCCGTCGAGCGTGCCGTGGGACGACCCGGACGAGTACTTCCCCTACCCGCCGCCTCACACCACCGCCCCGGTCAAACTCGCCGACCACCCGCCGATCGCGCTCACCCACGAGCACATCACGAGAACCATTGGCGACTTTTGCGACGCGGCCAGAACGGCCATGGAAGTCGGCTTCGACGGCGTAGAGCTCCACGGCGGCAACGGCTACCTGCCCGAGCAGTTCCTCAGCTCCAACGCTAATCAGCGAACGGACGAGTACGGCGGGACCCCGGAGAAGCGGTGCAAGTTTGTCATTGACCTGATGGACGGGCTGGCGAGGACCGTCGGCGAGGACAACCTGGCCATTCGCCTGACGCCCTTTGGCCTGTTCAACCAGGCGCGCGGCGAGCAGAGGGTCGAGACGTGGGCTCACCTCTGTAGAGAGCTCAAGCGGCGCCTCCCGCGCCTCTCGTACGTCAGCTTCGTCGAGCCGCGGTACGAGCAGATCTTTTCCGGGGCGGAGAAGCAGGCGTTTCTCGATTCCTGGGGCTTGTCGCGGGTGGACTTGTCTGTGTTTAGGGGCATTTGGGGCGACACGCCGTTCTTCTCGGCTGGTGGGTTTGACGGCGGGAACTCGTGGGGGCTGCTGGAGGCGGGACGGTACGATGGGCTGCTGTACGGGCGGTACTTTATAAGTAATCCTGATCTTGTGGCTAGACTGCGCGAGGGGCTGCCGCTGGCGCCGTATGATCGATCTACGTTTTATGGGCCGTTTGCTGATCCTGTGGTGGGATATACGGATTATCCGGCGTATCGGGATGGCGCGACGTAGATCACTTTGATAGATGAATGGGACGAAACAACTGGGATAAGTCTGCTTGGCAAAGACTACTTTGTGCTGATGACCAATGGCCGTTGTGGAGAGTCTTTGGTTGTTGATGGAGATGCTTTTGTGGTGGTTCGGCTGTTTCCGCCCGTTATATTTTGCATCCTTGTACATTTGTTTGGTACGGTCCCGAGAAAAATAGAGTGCAATCCGCTATTGTGACGTGACTGATAGAGTCGGACAACGGTAATGGCTTAACCTGTGGAAATAAGTTGGTTAGTGTTACACGAATGTCACGTTGCCATAAAGGCACGGGCCGTACCTTGAACATGACGATAGTTACATAAGGGCTTGAGACCTAACAGAGGCCTCAGGCACCTAGGACAGCCCTTTGACCGCCTCTTGATATAAATAAGGGTCATCTGCCCCTTAAGGCCTTGAGAAAACCAAGGACCTTTGATATTAAAGCGAATTATTAGCTGAATATCGAACATTGTTCCAAGCCCAATATCACTGCCCTTGTCACAGTTAGCCGGATGGAGCACGAATAGCCCCCGCTGTCAAATTAAGCTTACATGTAGCACCATGCGAGGCTCTTTGCAGGGTCGGTTCTGACCTGGTAAAAGATGAAATTCATCCAACTTTGCACAATGCTACTTGAATCTGTATCCTTGCAGACATTTCCACAAAGACAGACCGAGCTGCGTGACTACTGCGTTTCAGAGGCGGCAAACTCTTTTATTTCGACTTGTCCTTCCACGGCGTGTATAATAGCACCAGGAGGAGTTGTTTACTGTTACAAATAGACACTTTTGTTGACCAAATTCTGACGCCCCAAGGATGTCTGATATAAAAGAGTCAATACACAGCTCGACAAGCACTATAGTATTGGGCACCCCATGTGTAATTTCAAAACTTGACAAGGGTTGAACAAAGCGAGGTAACAATTCCCATTGGGTATATAGTGCCTACACAGCAAACACAAACCACGGCTTTGTCATGGGCCCTCTCTGATAGTCCAAGGTCGCACAAGGTAGACTGCTGCCGTATATGTGGTGGTGTCTGCTTGAAAAAAAAGTTGTAAACTACTAAGCGACAAATCACGCCCTCACACATTCAAAAGCCAACACCGAGACCACGGACGCGCTTTGGCCGCCCTGGAGGTGAGATGTGTATAATTCACCGAGTTCCAGGCAGAAAGGCTGTAAGGTTGGAACATCACAAAATGACAACAAGCTCTTCCTCTTGTCCAGCATCATCTATCAAGCCAGCTTTTCTTTGCTGTTGGGCATGATCAAAGTCACCCACACTATATCGGGACATGAAAACAAATCGAGCATTTATATCACATCGGTACGCGCAACGCAATCAAGTACGGCCGTGCTGTTTCCAAAGAGTCACGTCCCAGGTACTCCGTAGAGCGAGTGTAATCAAACCGAGACACGGCAGTTAGGCATCAGCGCGGCACTCTATCCAATGACATCACCGCCGGTATGGAATCACGGTTACACAACCATGCAAGCCGTTTGCAATCACAAAGCGGGGTCGTAACGAACGACAAACGCTTCACTGCTACTCCGTATACCATGTTTGAATCCGGCCGTATGACCCAGCAGCAAACATACATGCTCGGCGTGAGACGCGTCCATCATGCTCGGTCCTCATACTCCCCAGAGGCACCCTGCCACGGCCAGTCCGTCCTGTCCCCGGCTGACAGGACGCATCATGTGGCTCCCGACAAGGGATACAATGGATCTGGGCTTCGAGCCCGGCGTCTACAACCACCCCGTCGTCGTCCTGTCGCCCATGCTGAGTGCCGGCGAGGTGGACTTTTTCCCAGCAAGTAGCGCGTCATCCCCGTGCCGAAAGGGGCCGTTTTGCTGACTCGAGACCCGAAGTTGACTTCGTTTGGAGGGACCAGCCTCGTGGACAAGTTTCCCACCGAGACGAGAGCCAGGGGCCGTTACCTGCCCATCAAGCCGAGTGCTCCTCATCCCGACAACAAGATGCTGCTCGAGCTGTGCGAGGCCGAGGACAGGCTGACCAAGGACTCGTACGTGCACATTAGCAAGGTTCTCAGAGCTAAATTCAAGGCACTGCGGCCCTATGCGTCGCACTGGCTCCGGAGCCCGTATCTCTCGGATAATTCGTACCGTCAGCTCATCTTGCATGCTCAGTATCCGGTTCCCGGGCAGCTGAATGGCAGAATTGCTGGATACGGCTGGACATTGGTGCTGCCTCCCTCGCAGACTGCAACAAGGCCCCAGAGGTCGCGGTATGATATCCCGGACCGGCCCGTTTACGGCGGGATACAATCGCCGGGGCGCCTGCCGACGTCTTTTTCCTATTCTCAGATGAGTGTCACGCGGCAGGCGCGGTATAATGAGAGGACGCCTTTGTTGCCGACTCCCCGGCCTGCGAATCCTCCGCGGCCAGTTCTTGCAAGGCGAGTTTGGGGACGGAATACACACGCGAGGAATTCACGACGACTAGTGTCGATAGACTGGGCCAAGGTCTTTGGAATACTCTGGGCGCTGGTGATTATTATTGCGGCATGCTACGGAATATATTGGCTCGTCGAACACTTGGTTCAGCTAGTGTCGGTATGTTGGCTCTGGCTGCAACACGCCGTCACACACATGGCGGCGACTATCAAGAATTGGTTTGGGAATCTACTGGGCCACGCGGAACTCATCTAGAGGGTTGGCGTTCCAAAGTACACTTTTGTGCAGCCGTCATCTGCGGAAGCCTATCGACGTGTCCATGCACCGGGTGTGCCTTGGCGAGCATGGGCGGAAATGCAAGTTACATATATGCTGATGTTATGGCAGCGGCTACCAAGGCAGGATAGTCGTTACGACCAGAGGGGAGATTGAGAATGATTTTAGGCGCTTGTTGTTTATTGCTGGATATTGTAGCTAGGATGCTTGGAATGCAGAACCGTACTATTTTGGCCTGATCATGAGTATTTATACGTAAGCCCGAAACTATCAAGCAATTCGAACAGATGGTTCGCAATGGATTGTTTGTTGGCTATGGGGGATTATGACCCTGCTAAGCTTCCAATTGGCATCTTCAAATACAATCGCGGTTTCAATGCGACGACTGGGAGTCTTAAATTTAAGGTTATCCAAGTTCGACGGGAGGATGCGTGCATCTCCACGACGGCTACGACGTCACATACTTCTCCCCACCTTGTGCAACATAAAGGTGAGTCTGAAGTACTGGGGTCAATACCTAGTTACCTAGGAACCAAGGCTATGTAACATGATGATAACAATAGGACGGATATTGCATTGGTGATTTACAACACACCGAAGTTGGCGTGGACACAGGAAGAGAATGGGGACCATGTTGGCGTACGGCCGGCAGCGAAAGAGCTGCAACGGAATCAACAAGGCTAATTCACTTGTCACTCGACCTGTTGAAAAGCCAGCAATGAAACGGTAAAAGGGTTGAAAGATGAAGAGACGAGTGGATGGCACCCTCGCTAGTTGCAACATGTGTTTGGTTGGATACTTTTCCCGCCAAACGTCTGTTGGGTCTCACACAACAGCGTTTTTCCACCAAGAGTCTACCACGGCATTGGTAGCATGTATGATGTAGCTCGTACAGAAAACTTGGAATCTACGTCCCTGCCAAAGCTAGAATGAGGCTGGTGATGCAAGTGGCAATCTACAAGAGCCCTGTAGACTTGTTCAGTGCTGGAACCTGAAAGAATCTTCTATAGCATCAAATACGCTACAAATACCAGGTCGCCTATTATGGCTTGCCCCAGAGCCATTGTCCCACTGATCCAAGGCCAACTCGTCTTATTTCTTGCCACCATGGAAAGGAGGAAATAGAGACGCCTGTCGTGTCTATGCCGAATCAATGTCTATGAGACAACGCGGCACGGCCGAGTAGCTTCACCAATGCAAAACCCATGCGACGATTGTAGGTGATGGATGAGTATTGTATCCGTTACGTCCCGGAATTAGGCTATTTGGCAACATGGTCAGCGTCAAGCAGCCGCATCACCACCATCCACAAGCACGCCTCGCTCCCTCAGCAACCCAATAGTCTCTGCCGTCCATTCCTGACACCGCCGAACCGGATACGCCGTGATCTTCCGGGCACCCTCAAATTGCTTCTCGGGGGCGGGATTAGACTTGCAAATCGCATCGATGCGCGCCATGTCGTTGGCGGAACTCCATCCTAGCCTCGTCTGTCCGTGGTAAGAAGGGTCAGTGTCTGGCGCGGCATCGGTGGCCTTCATTTCGTATCTCATCCCCTGTTGGATATTGCCGGTAACGTGGAATATGTAGCCGCCACCGCCGCGTGAAGCCTCGACGAAAATGGCATGGTGGCTTCTTGGGAATCCGAGGGACTCAACAAGGAAGACGCGAAGGGACATGGCGGGCGAAAGCAAAGACGAAGGAACAAGGCAGAAATACTGTGGCCATGGCGTCAGCTTAATACTATAGCGGTTCTCGGATCGGGAGTCGGAAGTCGAGCACGAAACGGCCCCAAAGCGGGCAGTTGGGCGGCAGGAATGCGGGGTTGCCCATGGGGCTCAACGGCCCGGGATCCGAGGTGAAGGAGGTCACAGCGTGGCTTGCTGGGATACAAGACGTCTAGAAGATGCAAAGAAGGCCCTTTGTTGGGGGCATGGTAAGACAGTCCAGATTCAAGCTTATTTTTTTTTTTTTGGGTGGATTTGGACACAGAGACAGACGGGTTGTGGCCACGCCGCATGGGCAAGGGTAAGCAAACACCGACGCATGAGTTTTCGACTGCTTCTCCGGGCGGGGGGACTGAAGAGGAGCGGGCCGTCGGCGTCTGGTACATGCCAATGGCGTCGCAATGAGTGGCTGGCCACCGCGTGGCGGGCCGCCGTGTTGCCGTCGGGCGATTTTGATCGGCGAAGGGAAGGGGAAAATTCAATTCGCTTCTTGTGCCACGAGACGCCTCGGCGCAGGCGTGTCGAAAGGCATCCGGAACCATGGCCGTGAGAGGGACGCATTGATGACGGCGCAAGGCATTGCTCAACCAGTGACGGGCGGTTGCGCCTGCGTCCTCGTCACCGCTGGCGTGCTTCGGGCCATCGGCGTCTGCCCTGCTCACTCACAGAGTCACGCTGCGTTCACCGTAGTCACTGATGTGCGCCGATCGTGGGAAGGAGCCCAGACAGGACTTGCCACCAGCTCGAGGGCATCAATCGATTGGTCCAAAGGCGCCACCCGGCTCCACAAATTGCCCTGCCCCTTCCTGTCAACGGCGGCCTAGCGCGCAGGAGTTGCAGAGTCCAGACATGGAGGTCGGAGCATCGAGGTCCCCACTCCACTAAGTAGTCAGTGCCAGTCACCGCAGCCAAGTGGTCCGGTTTCTGCCCGCTTGGATTCTCGTCTCGCCCTCACAACCAGTCGCCGATTCAAATTTACCTGCTCGCACAATGTAGTTGCTTTTCTGTGCTCTTCCTGCCGCCTGCCTTGGTCATCTCAAACCGGCTTCATTCTCTCATGTTTCTTGACGGCACACCCGAGTCTGCTCAGGCCAAACTCAACACCACCGCGCCCGAAGCATCTCCGGCCTCATCGTCCTCGTCCTCGCCTGTCGCTTCGGCCCCTCGCTTGCCTGCTCTCCATGCTTGGTGTTTGCCAATCCGCTCGCCATTTGTTCACTCTGGCCTCTCCCTTGGGGCCGTCTTGTGACGCTGCATTTCTCTCAGGATCCGGCGCCCGCTTCGGGTCGTCGCCCTCCATCACCTTCTCCTGCTGCATCCCACGTGTCCGCCAACGGGTTTGCCTCGCCCGTCATGGAACTGGACCGAGACACCTCAACGTCCACGCCCGCAACATCTGCAATACCCTTTGAGCCCCATCAGTCCCAGCCCCAGCCGCAGTCGGCTTCCCCGGCTCCGGATCACACACAATCCCACTCCAAGTCGGAATCTCACGGTGCCTTCTCGCCCGGTCAGCGGCCCAAGAAGTCTTCGACGACATGCTCAACTTGTCGCTTCCGCAAAGTCCGTTGTAACGGCCTTCGCCCAGTCTGTTCCAACTGCCAAAGGCTTGGGTTCCCATGCTCCTACGACGACTCTGATGCCGACAACTGGTCCCTGGCCCTGCCGCGTCGCAGAGTCAAGCAGGCATGTCTGAGTTGCCATAGCCGCAAGGCCCGATGTTCCGGCCACATGCCCGCTTGCGACCGATGTCGCTCCCAGGGTATCGAATGCGTCTACCGCCCTGGAAAAAGAGCCAAGGGCACGGGTAGGGGCGGCTACGGCGAGGTTCGGAGCCCTCGTAGTCACGATGGCGATGACAAGGACAGGACAAAGGATCGGGATCAAGACAAACATGATGATAGCGACACACCCGTCACTGATCCGGCAAACACGCCAAGTACCTTTAACCACGAAATGTATGTGTCCTATTTTATAAGCGTATGGGATAATAGGGCATGTCTCGGCTAACATGATGGTAGTCCCAGCATCGACGAGTCTTTTGATTCTCTGACTAGTCGCACCTTTGACCAATTCTTCCGCCATGTTCACCATATCCCCATGTACTCATTCTTGCATCGCGCATCACTCATGGAGCAATACAACTCTGACAAAGTCGACAAAGCACTCTTGTTAGCCCTCATCGGCATCACATCGTGTTTGACGGATATGGGCGCTGGCGTGCGTGAGTACGGTGACCGTTGCATTGATCGCGCGGAGCACCTCATCTTTTCCGATTACTCACGACCGTCGACATTCAAAGTCCAGGCCCTAGTCTTCATGATCAAGCACAGAATACTGTCCAACAAATACCCTAGCGCCTTTATGCTCCTGAGCATGGCGTCTCGTTTCGCTGCAGCACTACGCCTGAACCACGCCAGCCCCAATCTGTGCTTCTTGGCCCAGGAGTCTCGAAGACGGTTGATGTGGTCACTATACTGCATCGACACTGGTATTTCAGCGGGGTACCGGGATTTTGCGTTGTGGCGAGCGGACAGAATCTTTGTTAGCTTGCCTTGCAACGAACGAAATTTCGAATTCGATCTGCCACAAGCCGCCGAAATGCTTGACCCTGCAAGCAACGGCCCTGACATACCGCCCCCGGAAGACGTTGGGAGTCTGGCACTTCATATCCGCATCCTCCATCTGCGCCAGAAGATTATCGAGTTCACCAAAGATGTTCTCGTGGGCCGCACCATCACCGATACGTCAAGTCTGCAAGATCCTGTCCTAGCATTGCACAAGCAACTAGACGACTTTGCCGGCCGACTCCCGTCTTCGTTTCAATTCTCCGAAAGCTCTCTCCGGCTAAGAGCATACTCTCCCAGGATTTGTGTTTTTGTCATGATCCACGTCTGGTGGCATCAATGCCATTGTGACCTATATCGTATGACCATGGCTGGATTCAGGGAAGCCCTGCCCGAGGCCACATTGCAAAAGTTGGACCCATCATTTCTCGCTCACTGCCAACGCCAGTGCGTAGATCACTCCCTGGCCATGGCCAGCATATTTTCTTCCATGCATAAACTCGGGGCCAGGCCTGTGGCAGACCTAGATTTGGCCCTCTGCGCCTATCAGTGTGCTCGCATGCTAAAATATGCGTTCCACGGCGCTGCCCACAACTTGGGGTTGACGGTCGAGGTGGTGACGGAAAAGGCCAAAGTTTGTCTGCATACCATCAAGCAGTGCTGCATGGGTCCGGCGGCAGGGGCCATTCGATCTGACCTGGAACGACTGATCAGCCAGGGTCTTGGGTCGGAAGTCTCCTCTCCGCAAGACACCATGGTCGACTCCAACCGGACCAACAGCGCTGGCACCGATGCCCCATCCAGACATCCCGTCCTTCGAAATATCGAGGTGACGGAGGAACCAAGCGTGATATCGACGACGCAGACAGTGGCATGTCGCACCAACTCGCACCCTCCGGAACCCTTCATCACTACGCCCGTAACAGCAGCCACCGCCATGCCAATGCAGACGTCGCTGTCCGCCCAGGAACTGGCCACCCCAAATGCTTGGACTACCGCGCCAGCATTCCCCAGCATGGAAGCAGCTGTACAAGCCCACGCGGAGCCAGAGCCAATGGATTTGACAAACGCTTCCAATAAGTCCGATATTGGTGCAGGCGAACTCAACAGCGCTTACGAGGGAGCGCTGGAAATTTTCGACCAAGACAACGGACTGGCTCACGCCATGGGCGTCGAGTTGAGCCCTTGGAACTGGAGCAGTGATTTGCAGTGGCCCGATTTTCTGAGCAGCGGCGTGGGTGTGTGAGCTCGTATAGAGATCTAGGCATGTGCAATGTTTTTTTTAATGGTGGCACGACGATGAAATAACGTGTGATACCCGGCGGAGGCGAGCCAGACGTGTTTATATAAGTAACACCTGCTTTTGCATTACGGCGTTTATGTATGAGTGTAGTTGGTATATTTCTAGCCATGAGAAGCAAATCATGGCAAGGGAGCTTGTTTAGTCTCATCCGAGGGGAAAATTTAAAAATACTATATAACAAAACCTCCCAAGCCCGCAAGTCCGCCTTGGCAGGGGCTATATCCTCGCTGGTTTATAAACTATCGTACATCCCCATGGTAAATCACATCTCCACGTGGAACAAGTAGCGGAGCTTGACTTGCGCCACGTCGTAGCAGATATATTCATTGTAGGCGAGATATGCGCCATCGACGTTGGTTGGGCCGGGGGCTACTTTTGTGTCGGGCTGTTCACATTAGCGTGATTCTGCGCATAGAAAAAGGGTGTCAAGAGGGCAGCAGGCGGTCAAGCTGGCGAAGCGGCAGCAACGGAGAGAATCAACATACCATTTTAATACCCTCCAGGGAATGGTGGACCGCTCCCGCGTCCACCCAACTACTGGGACCGGTACTGCCCATTCCCCAAGTACTGTACATGCCACCCTTCTGGGCATCCTCGCCGGCGCTGTACGATGCATCAGTGAGTTTCTGAAGCGGGTCGCCTAGTTCAGCCTCGCAGAGGAGCAAAAGTGCGTGGCTATTGGAAATATAGGAGCAGCAGTAGTTGGCAGACTTGGTGGACATGTCTGCTAGGTAAATACCCTTTCCAAACATGTATCCCGATACAGGAGCCTCCGGAGGTGCGATTCGGAGTCCCTGGCTCAGAATACCGCCGAAATTGGTGCATCGTGAACCGTGCCAGAGAAGGCGCCTGTCGGAAGGAATTTTGGTGAAGACCGAGTCGTTGAAGCGTTCGTACTCGCCAGCACGCCGGATACGGAAAATGTTGCGGACCTTGTAGTTGATTCCATGGGTTGAGCCCTTGGATCCGTTGAGGTATCTTTGGAGGTAGTCGAACTCGGACGATGAGTGGTCCAAGGGTGTCATTTCACGCATGCCCAGCCCTTGAAAGTGGCTGTCCATAGGATGGACTGTACGAGCCTTTGAGCGATCAATCTTCATGATGTTGGACGCGTCCTTCATGTCGGACAGACTTTCGAGGAGCTCAATTTCCTTCTTAAGGAGAGCTTCATTGTTGATGATGGGCGGGCGATTACGACCAAAGGCGTGCGGGATGAGAGAGTAGTATGTATTAGAGAGGTGTTCTGTTGCTGCTGCGACAGTCATGTCCCACTGTGAGGTGGCCAGGGCAGGATCGTCCATCAGAGAAGCAAGGTCCTTGAGTTGTTGGAAGCCTCTCAATATGGTAGCTTTGCTGAGCTTCCCGAGAGGCAGCTTGTTGGCGTCATAGTTAAGAGAGGACATAGTTGCGTCGAAGTAGTTTTGGTTGAAGATAAGCTCCATGACCTCGCGGACTTGTGCGGGAAGTGTGCATTCGGGAGGTTTGTAATCTTGTTCATTTTCCTTCTTGGCGTCGGGAGCTGTGCCCTGCTCGCCGTCTTCAGACTCCTCGTCGTAGCTTCTCTCCACAAAGGCGTACTTGTTGGGTTTGGGGTCCTTGGTGCGGTCCTTCCAGGCAAGACCAGACTTATCTTTAAACTTCTTCTCAAAGTGCTTCTTGGCATCATCGAGGGAGCCGTCCCCGAGAATGGCATTCTGTCCCATCTCGCCAACGCGGCCCCATCTCGTCCAAGTTTTGTAGGTCAAGCCTTGAAACAAGATCTGTGGGAGTCAATATTTTGCTTTGAGAAAAATCGCAGTGGAAGGGAGCGAAGGCGAAAACCGGGCGGCTTACCTGCAAGCGATAAAACTTGTTGTGATTATTTGAAGTGCTGGATTGGTTTAGAGAGGCGTCGTAGATCATGCCGCTCCGCGGCTCAATATATACGGCATAGGTCTGAAGGGGACAACGCTCATCAACCGGAATAACAATGTCCTTCTTCTTCAAAAATTGACCTTTGGATAGCTCCTTGAGTTTCGTCTCAATGGTTTCCTCCTTGACTGAATTTCCTTGGTCTACTACTTCTTCTCTTTCTTCTTCTGCTTCATCCTTTACTTGAGCAGCCTTGCCTCGAGGCTTTTTGGCGACGTGCCCATCGTCTGCTCCCGCATCTAGGTCACTGCCATTGGAGTTGGCCACGGCGATAGGGCGCTTCTTTCCACTTCCATCTGCACTGCAATCATCTGGAGTTTCATGATCGCCCTGATCGTGTTGCTCTTCTGGCCAGAGGTAGTTGCTTGGGTCCACGTCTGTCCTCAGCTTGGCCACTTCAGCCACCCACTCGGGCTTGACCAACGAAACGCCAGCGGCTTCGGCATCTCTGACTTTAGGGGCCTTCCTGAGGAAGTCCTTTTCGTCACAGACGAGATGGGTGTTGCGTCCGTTCACTGAGGGAGTCACAGATGCGCCAAGAGAAGTGAATAGGGTGTTGAGGTCCTTGTGGGAGAATCCAGGAAACTTGCCAGAGAAAGCGAGGCGATGGGCCTGGAGGGGATTTGCTGGTACGGCTGCGGCTGCAGCTGTCCGGCGACCTCGCGTTGCAGGCATTGTGAGTAAGGATTAACCATTTATGAGGTAAAAAGGACGATGGAATAGGCCAATTGGAGAGAGTGAAGGAATGGTGAGGGATGGAGTGGTCGACAGACGAAAGCGTTGGACGAGCACAGCATCGGGATGTGGCCGTTTTTATTATTTCGCCAGCTGGCCAGCCGTCAAGGCCACATGCAGGCACAGCAGTCCACTGGCAGACGATCCAGAGAGAGACTGGAGCTGTGACAGTTGAGCAGCTCACCAGACTCATTAGGCAAGCGCCGCCAGCAGCTTCAAGCCCCCTGCAGGGACCAAACATTAAACTTGCTTTTCCTCACTTGACTTTCAACCAGTCCTCAGCCGCGTGCGAGAGCCCACTGGCGAGCTAACTAACGACTCACTAGGCTGCGAGGCCCCGCCGCCTCGCCGTGAGGCGTCTTCCAGCGTCTCCATCCCGCTCCCAGCTCCAGGCACCAGCGGGTCTGGTCAATTTCATCCACAGACCACAGGCGCGAGACACCAGATGCCGGCCATGCATGCCACCGACCTCGATTCTCACGACATCCATGCACGAATCATACACGACATCACGTGGCTACAACTCATCCTCTTGTTTCGTCTGGCTGCTTGGTGTTGCGGAAAGTGGAGATGCTGCCTGTCTGCCGACGACGAAGTCTCTGATTTTATGGGCAGGGCAGTCAATTGGCCGTGTCGTGGCATGTTCGTGGCACAATTAGTCGACTATTGCGGATGTGGATGTCGCCAGCGTTGCAATGTGAATTCCTCGGCGGGCTTACTCTTTTTACTAGATGCACTTATCGCCTTATTATCTCCTTAAATGCGGAATGGCTCCCCGGGGCCCCTCTGCCATAGAACTTTATTAGGTAACCGAGTCTCCACGAGCCATTCCGCATCTACAGAGATTTGGAAATATATGCTAATACTATATGCTAATGAGTTTAAACGGTAACACACACAGCAGTGCCAGGCAAGTTGCGGGGGAAGCATTGGGCTGTAATCTTGCAAGTCACGTACTTAAGTACATAAGCCCATCTTCAGTGGGCACTATTAGCACAATTGTACTTGATATATACATGCTGCACTATGAATGCATGTACTCGGCGTTAGTTACATCGTCAAAATCTGTCTCCGTTACGTGTCCACCTCCCCGCCGCGTATCCTAACTGACCACATCAATCCCATGGCGCGTGTGTGGTGAAATGCACATGATCATTCGACTCCAGCAACTCCTGGATCAACAATTCGGCCGGATTAGGTATCTCCATTTCGTCGTCGTCGAACAGCCCCAATTCCAGTCCTATAACGGTATTAGCCTCGGGCTCACACGTCGTCGTCGCTATCAAGGTCAATTTCACCCTCGAGCACTTCATCCGTAACTAACTTCACTGTCAGCCATCTAGCCACGCCGCAACCACCCCGTCCACAGCACAAGGCCTGATGACTTACTATCGTTGTCCTCGTCAGTTTCATCCGCTGCTTCGTATGGCCACTGCACTTCCAGCTCCGGCATGATCTCGGTGACGAATTGCCTCCAGTCTGGCCCCGTGTACTGGCGTGTTGGGCCCCTCCCTTTGAAGGCGACATGTGCCGGCACGGGCTTCTCAATCCAATGTTGCTGCAGCATGCCCATCTTGAAATGCCTCAGCTCAAGGCACGGGATCTCGATGAGCTTTTTCAGGAAATGGGCCCAAAAAATCTCCTTGGGCGCGGGGCTGGGCGCATCCGACGGCAAGTGTCGCAACATTGTGACTTTCCACAGCTCCAGGCTTTCCAGCGACAGTGCAAATTTAGAAATGAGCTTCAAGAGTCTGGGGGCGTCGATGTTCATTGTGCCGAGGCTCAGCTCCTGCAGTTTGGGCATCGAAGTGGCCGTTCCGTCACTGCCACCGTCAACCATCCAGTCAATGAGGCTCGCCAGCCCAAGGGAGTTGGTCCGATGCTCGTTGATGCGCAGGTTCGTGAGGTTCGTCGCATGTGCCAGGAAGTTTCTAATAAACAAGTCTGGGGAATAGCGGCTCGAGCCCACGATGGCAGGCAAGCCCACGTGCGGAGTGCGCCAGGACAGGTCGATGCACAGGTGTAGCTTTTCCAGGCCCTGAAGCACCGGCACTACGGACGGCTCCATGAATTTTGGGATGTTGAAAGCGAAGTCGCGCAGGTGGTTGGCATTCCGGGACAAGATCTCGATGCTCTTGATGCTGGCCTTGGCCGCACCCAAGGCAAACATGACGGCGGTGAAGACCTGACTGCAATACTGGTACGGGAAGCCCGAGTTCCAAATTCCAGTCATGCCCTGGCTCAAGCTAATACCCGTGTCATGAAAAGCCGTCGTGTAGCCGTAGCTGTGCCACTCGGCGTTGGGCCCGTCCCTTGACCGGCGGTGCGAGTTGGCATCCCTGATGACGACCCCCTCTAAATAGGGGAGGTTGCGAAAGGCCTCGGCCATCATATCCCGGTGGTGTCCAGTGTTCCATAAGGTAAAGTTGTTTGCATATCTCTCCCTGAACTTGCGCTCCTTGTCGTCGTCTGGCAGAGGCCGCTGGATGCCCTCGGAGAAACGGTCGAGGCCAATGTGGACAAAGCGCAGGTGGTGTGCGAGGCGACTTTTGGATATGTCTATCAGGGCCTGCAGGCTGTCTTCGGCTATCATGAACTGCTTGCGGGTGAAGAATTCAATGACAAATGGTGTGTAGAGAGCCTGTTCCATAGAGCGGCAGGTCAGGCGAACGCTACCGAGATCTGGCGTGCCAAGATGGTATGTGATTCGCAAAAGAACTTCGACGGGTATCTTCTGCATGGGACAGTCGTGGAGAGCCGGGTCCGCCATGGTGGGCGTCTGGCAAGGTAAATATGGAGAATTTGCGTCGTGTAAAAGATTGCTTGCTATGGTTGTGCAGTGTGCGATATATCAAAAGTCTGGTGTGGTCGTGAAGCGGAAGCAGCTGCTCCAGTGAAGTCGGTCGAGTGGCACCAGAGCGCAGAGTCCAAAGTCAACCAGACAGTGCTCGTCACCGGCCAAGTCCCCGCGCCAACGACCTGCCTGTGCCTGACCTGCAACGTCCGTGCCTGTTGCTCGAAAAAGAGTCTGGTGCACAGCTTGTCCAGTCCAGTGTTCCTGCGCGCTCGTCAAACAGAGCCATGTAAAAGCATAGCCATGCATAAGTATATATACTCACACTCGTCTGTCAGCGTGCGGATGTGGTTGCCTCCACCGGGACTGACTGCCCCTGTTGAGGCCGTGACCAGGCAGCGCAGCGCAGCGCAGGCAGCACCGGAACCGCCAAAACCCCCCAAAAGCCGCCACCGGCCTGAGGCCCTTCAAGCCACAAAGGAGCTTGAGCCGCCGATTGGGGGCACCTGCCCAGCCCAGACAACAACCAGGATGACAATGATGATGATGATGATGATGAAAGGCGATGGGGCACGCGGAAGGAAATGGCTGCAAAGGAGCAAGACGGAGAGAACACTTAGCTGACGGTTTGGCAGGTGGCGATGAGGCCAGTGAGGTGTAGCCAGTCCAAAGACGGTGGTGACTGTCGACTGACTTGATATGTCAGAAGGCAAACACGGTGCGCGCCGACTTGCAAAAAGTCAACGGCGTTGAGACCAAGGCGGCAACGACAAGAAGCACTCGGGCATGCGATCAAGGCGATTTTGACGTCTCGGCCCGCAGCATCTAGGCACCGCTCGAGAGTTCAAAACGGACGTAGCCCGCGACGAGTTGTGTCTCTTGATGAGACTTGGAACACGGACAGAAACCGTCGACAAAAACTCGCCCGCCATCAATCGCCACACGCCGCTAATGCCATGACACGTCCCCCAGTGGCCCCGAGTTTACCCCAGAGCGATGCGATTCGTCCCACACGGCCAGCCAGCGTGGAGTAGCACGGAAGTGCATCACTATATCGCGGACCAACTGTAATAAATTGAAAATCAACCCCTCGAGTTGACGGGCTCATCATGTCATGCTATGCCGGGCCATGCTCAGTCATGCCCTGCCATATATGTATATTGTGTGTGGTGGAGAGCCATGCATTGCCAGGGTCAGACGACGGTATTGCCGAAATGCACCTTGTTTCGGCCATGTTTAAACCAATCGCCAACACTCATCAACCTTGGCGTAGCAACGAACAGAATTTGTGGTGCTTCAAACTCCAGACCTCCCGTCCGTCACCGCCTGCATGGCCCAATCGCCTTGCATGCCAGCATCCCCTTGTGGAACCTTCCAAATCCCGCACAATCCTTGAACATCAATTTTCATGTGCGAATATTTTTTTTTTGATGAAACAAATAACTAAAATAGTACATTTCCACTATAGTTAAGAAAAGAAAGAAAAAAGGCACTACAATATCTTCTCTCTCCGGACTCTGGTTTGAAAATAGTTGGTATATCCTCCAGCGTGAAAGCTCAGATCCAAGTGACGCCGTCTATCGTGCTCGCTGTATGCCATCCAGTTTCCCAATCCCTACAATCTATAAATGCCAAACCCTTTGGTTTGACCAAACAAACGCACAATCAACCGCTTCAACTCTAATCTGCCCTCTGCCCTCTGCTATCCAGTATTGGGACGAGTCATTATCCACTCTCGTTCCATCAGCTGCATTTGCGTACAAAAGCAAGCCAAATCCCACCCATTATCCCAAGCACACCCGCATGACGATAAACAAGACTAAAACAAAAGGGCTCTCCAAATGTCAACTTCAAGAAAAACGAACATGTTGAATAAGATGAACAAAGAACACATATTGCACCGAAACGCCATCATTCCATGATTTTACCCTTCATCCCATTTGAAGTCCTGCTGTTGGAAGAATCTCGCCGCCGTTTCATCACCACCTTGCTCTGCTGATTTCATCCAGTGAATAGCAATACACAGCAGTCCCGCGTCATTCCTGGCATCGCTATCCTTGCCACCCAGCGCCGGTCCATCTCCCGCTGGGTGAGCAGGACCCATTGCCCGCATGTTCATGCTAGCATTGGCGAGACCAGCTGGCCC